GAAATTTTAAAATTTATCTTGGTGAACTTTTTTTCAGTTTGCACCTAGGTTTGGTTTGATATGGTTTATTTAATTACGGCAAAGCATACTAGGGATATCTGCCTAGGGGGAGGGATGCTTTTGTGGAGGACTTTCTAAGGGAAACTGACTCGTATACACATTACACATGGAGAAAACCACAAAAACGCCCATGCAGCCAGCCCGTTAGGGAGATTCGAACTTCGGACTGAACAACCAGTGTTCAACGACTTTACCGCTCGGCCGCGGGTGGGCTAGTTTGCACGAAGTATAAATCACTTGCCGAACTTCTTAATTTATAGCAACCTATTTTCTTTTCCTTTTTCTTCATTGTCCATGAGTGGAAAAAAGTCATCATTCATACTTTAAAATAATTTTAACAAAGTGCATAAACCACATTTTCGTTATTAATTAGCGCTTGCAATAAATACAGCAAATTTCAAATTGTGCCAAAATGTAATTTCACATATATCTTAGGAAATTTTGAATAAAAAACTAATTTTTTGTAGGTATGCTTCGAAATATATCTACTTTAAGAAGATGGCAAAAATTTTACAGGTTGTAAATCAAAATGTTTTTCAAAAAATTTAGAAAAATTATTTAAAAATACAAATTTAAAAAATAAATCATAAAAAATAAGTGAATTTTATTTGGAACGAACCTAAATTTCGAAATATCAAAGGAAGAATCAAATAAGTTTAAAAAAAAAAAAAAAAAACTTTCCAATTTTTGCAAGTTAAAGGTTCTAAAACTTTCTTCATCTTTCCAAACAACTTTTGTTTTCCAATGCTTTTTAACTCTTATCAGGAGGTCCAAGACTTTGTTCTGTAATTGTGTAGTGTATTTCATGTTTCCAATAATGCAGTCATTTAGATAGTAAATGCTGTCAATTTATTCTACTCTATTAGTGAATACTTTTTTTTTATAAGTTTGAAATAAACTAACTTTTAAGTTATACTTTATAAGTTTGAAATAACTAAGGTTTTATTTGCAATGTTTGAATTTTGTCTGTCCCTACCATAAGATCTTTAAGGATGCCAAGGGCATTTTTTTTTTGGGTGATTGATTGGCAAAGTTAAACATTTTCAAGGTCTGAGATCATGACAAATTTCTTAAACACTATGTATAAAACTAATTGCATTTTCATGCTGTTCAAATGAAATCGGAAAGCAATTCAGGACTGAGACAACTTCAAATGGGGAAAAGTTATTGCTTAAATTTAGTATTTATTTGAACATTTTCTATCCCTCATTTACCCTGGAACTGTCTGCCAACAAAAAAAAAAAAAAAAAAAAAAAAAAAAAAAAAAAAAAAAAATGCTGCAGTGGTCTAAAAGGTTAGGGAATATCTGGATTCTTAGGTAGATGAGTTAAAATTTATCTTTATTAATCTTTTATTGAGTTGCTTTTGCTGTATGTGTGTTAAACTGCTGGCAGTTAAAATTACTACATCATAAAGGTGGCATGCAACAAATATCAAATTTGCATCAAATATAGTGTTAGGTGGGATATGCGAATGAGTGGCATTCCAGTGCATGCACATAAAGTAGATGTGAGTAATGCCATCTTCGCTGCATGTAAGTGGGAAGATTGTGCAGATGGTTTCTCATTTGGAAATCACATTTGAGTGTTTGTGTGTAGGTCATTATATGCCCTGTGTAAGAAGGACCAACTCCTACTAGCACATATCAGAATTTGACTATGCCCAGATTGTGGCATATCAGTTCTGTGATTTTGCATTCTGTAGCAGTCATCTTTGTGTTGGTCAGGATTTCATGATTATCAGGCAAATATGAAATTAATAGGTCAGTGCGGGCCTTACTGAATGCCATGCAGGATCTCAATGGCCCTGGATAACTAAGAACTGAGAGGACAGACATGCTGTCATTTGTTCCTTGTACCTTGAGCCAGGAACTTGGCTTTTGTGCAGGAGGAGCATGTATGTATGGACAGTATAACAACTTTTACAGCACCATGGACTGTTAGTACTACAACCATTGTTGTGTTTTTCCTTGACGCTGAAGGAAAGACATAAGAGTGGCAGCATATGATCTTTTCAGAATCCCAGTTTTGTGTGCAGCATCATTATATGATGTATCCTTGTATTGAGGTACTGAGAATGAACATTGTGAGGTTGTATTTGTCATCGGCATACAGGCTCAGCACTTGGCATGTTTGTATGGGTTGCCACTGGTTACATATCCCAATCAACTGTTGTTTGCATAGCCAGGAATGTGGCCAGCTGTCATTACATTTGTGATATGTTAAGGTGCGTGACTCTATCATATATTTGAGGCTTGCATGGCACCCTCTTTCAACAAGATAATGCACAACTCCATGCTTGTGATGTCTTGACATTCCTCAATACAGAATGTACTTGATTGTTATCCTGGCTAGCATGTTCTCCAGATCTCTAACCCACTGAGAATATCTGGTTATGAATTGCTAAGAGACTGGCATGCCACCAGTCATCATCCACTGTTACTTATAATCTCTGGCATAGATTTGAAATTGCATGGAATGCAGTACCTATATCTCTCATCCAAGCTCAGTTCAACTTAATGCCCAGCTGGATTACAGCCATTGTTGTTGCCAGAAGTTGCAGCTTTATGAATTCTGCACATTGTGTGTCCCAAGTCAACAGAAAATTTAATCATGTATTCCTCCCATTATACTGCATATGTACTACATGATTCTGCTATTTACTTTCCTTTTTGGTGTAGCAATTAGCAGCTGTGTAACAGCTGGTCTCTCAAATAACTGCACAAGAGCTGTCAATCAGTACAGATTGGTTTGTGGTTAAACCCACTGCAGATAATCTAACTGATGATAATCAGTATTCTCATTAAGAATTTGTTATTGTCTAATAGTTGATTCTAACTGTAAACCATGTCTCCATTATCTCACCCTATCCAAAACAAAATTTTTCTTATTAAAATTTTTCTTCAGCAATATAACTGTAATGAATTCTTTTGTCATCACCTGTCACAAGTCACCTTAAAAGTGCTATATTTCATCTCTAGTGTACAGCAAAGTGCAAATCAATACTCATGTTTGACAGTTTTTTCTGGTTGACTTTGTGTAGAACCCAAACACCAAATGAAAACTCATATTCATGTCAAATGATCTATTTGCTGTTTACTGTACATTGTGAGGCCTGTCTTCTATTTCTTTACTCATGATATGTGGCTTTGACTTTATCAGCATGCATTGATAGTATATAGGTATGTTGAGTAGTCTTCTGACTGTCTTTTTCAGTATTTGCGTGCAGACAACAGTTTACCTTTTCCATTGACAGAGGCCCAGATTTATTTCTGTCAAATGTCTGAAATGCACATATATAGGAATTTCTCTGGAATGGATCCCCCCTCCGTTGAGTAGAATGCTACAGCATTAACAATAACCTACTTAAGTGAATTGATTAGTTCTTTCTTGGGAATCTTTGTGTAGTTTAATCAACTGTGTGCAATTTCCTCTTAGGACAGGATTGCAACTGTGAGCACCAGTTGCTTAAAATTGATGTTAAACAAAGGAGAGGGGGAAAACTGCATTTAAATAAGAGAGCTATTTTAGTTGCTTCAAAATAATGGTTGGCATGCCCCGAAAACCAATGAACCATGCACTAACATGATGGGGTAAAGCATCAGGTAGAAAATGGATGCAGGTGTTAAGGTGACCTACCGATATCTAAGTGTTCGACTGTTTCGAGTGACTTTGTTGTGCAAGAGTTAAAGCATCTGTAAAATTTCCTAATGGATTTCAGTATATGCCTGGATTAGTTATTTTTTAACATTTCTAACACCTTCTGTATCCAATACATATGCGTAGCAAAATCTTTGATTACAGTCCTGTAATTATTATGAGACTTAATTTCTGTTTGTGCTCATTTGCTGACCCTTTTGTATTTACATAGTTATTTATTAATATTAGCAGCAATAAACCTGTTTTTATCTCCAGGAACAACATCTACACTTTGTTTCTTCCAAAATAGCAAACAAAAGGGCAAATTGATACTTGATGCTAATGCTTTTTAGCTGTAAGTTCAAGTGAAACCAACCACCAGCAAACAAAAACTCTCCTGTTTATATCAGGTGATCTTTTGGTATTAACTTTGCATAGTTAAGAATCTGCCATTTCTGTGCTGATGGATAACTGGATTTCACTCTCTCAGTGCCTTCAGTTCTCATCCACCAGCTCGCTTAGTTACCATTAAGGGTAATAGCCAAACCAATAACCAGAATAAACTAGTAATGCAGGAATGTTTGATTTGTAAGTGGGGACTGTTCCATTCATCACTTTGTTAATCACCATTTGTTAATCACAATCAAGGTAAAAATTTTGCTTGAGAACATTGTAAATCACTTTTGGTATTGAGATATACTGAAAAAAAATTGTGTATTTGTCTTCTACAACATTTTCATGAAGGTGCAAGTTATAAAGTATGATATGAAGCATTAGCTGCTTATAATATGATATCATTTACCTCTGACTAATATTAATGGAATTTTAATTCTGTGGCCTGCCAGTAGAACCATGGTATTAAGGTTATAATAATAATCTGTAAAAAATTTTATTGCAGTTTATTTTATTTTTGTGCATTTGGTGCACTTGATTTTTCAGCTGAAAATCCATGCATGTACTTTTCAGTAACCTTCGGCTTAGTACAGTTGACCTATGATGCACATATGTTATGCTGTATAGGTCTGTTCCTATGTAGAAATTTTTCATGTATAAACTATGTATTATTCATATATTTATTTGATCCAGGAGGCATCTAGTGAACAGTGCACTATTAATAACTAAATTTATAGGAGTTAAAATTATTATATGAGGATTTGCATCTGTCTATTATACTGCTGCCTGAAACTCCATATTTCAAGGATTCAGTTATATTATTTTTTAATCTGTACTTGTTTCATATTTAAGGTATCAGTTATATTTTTTTCTTCTGCCAATTTGCATTAATAGTTATCTTTCTTACAGAGGAGAGAGAATGTATGCAGCAGCCATCTGTTGCCAGCCAGATGTTAGAAACTCTGAAACATCTTCACCACCAAAAGTCAAGGAGCATTTATTATAGCGAAAAAGTCACTTTGCCTGAACAAAGCAAGTTTTGCCTAAAAAAATAGAAGAGAGAGGAAAGGAATATTAAGGAAATTATTTCTAATTGCTCTAATTTCTCAATTGCTTCTAATTTCTCAATTGCTCTTTCAAAAACTGAGACTGTATAGTTCCAATGTTTTATTTGCCAAATGTTGTGTGTCTTTCTACCCTTACAGAAATAGTATATCTTTGAAATAGAGGAAAAACTAATACAGTCAAAAGTCGTTAATTCGGACTCCCATAATCCGGACTTCAAAGCTACAAAATTTCTGCGCATGCATCGCGTTGACGCATGCGTGTAAGAACTTTACGGCTACAAATGGGCTTGTGCGTTTAATGTATAACGGACAGTATAAGGTATGCTAAAATTATCTAATTATCTATTTCAGTTAATGTTGCAGATTGCGTTGTTCCTTAATCTTCGAATTGGATCCGGCTTATTATTTTTTGCAAACTGTTAGAGCAATGTTATAAAAGTAAGCTTGGACTTTCGATTATGTCAAATAGAATTTCTGATATATATTTACTAATATGTAAAGGATTTACAAAGCGAAAGTATATTTCGAAGTTCATTAAACAAAAAGTGGAATTGCTGCAAAAAATGGATAAAGGCATATCCTTTGTTTATCTAAACTTTAACGTTTGTTTATCTAAACTTTGTTTATCTTTAATGCCGCGGCGAGCGCGCAATGAATTGGAAGTTGATCTGTCAGCACTATCCTTATCTTCAGGGCAGATGTTTTTATTTTATTTGGCTTATAATTACTTACTGAATGTAGTATTTCATCTCGATGTACTCCGTCTTTGATATGAATTAAATCAAATTCCTCGTCATTATAATTCGCTTTTGATAGCGAAGAAAGTGACAGAGGTTATTAAAACGAAAAAATTTCGATTGACAAATTAGTCGGTAGACACAGCAATTATAGGATTTGAACAGCGGAACTTTGTAACTGAACAAGAAATTATGTCTGTTTATAGAATTAAAGAGAATGTATTATCACGTAAAAACGAAGCAACTTAAACAACTTACATTGAAAGAAATGTTTATAAAGTAAACAAATAAATATTAAGCTTTTTTTTTTGTAAATTTTGATACCCTTTAGATCATAATTGTTCTTTATTTCATAAATTACGGTTTCATATTTTTAATTTTATAATTTCTGCATGCCATCTTACCAGATTTAAACTGATGATCTATAATCCGGAATCGCCGAAGTCCCGACGAATCCGGATTAACGACTTTTGACTGTATTAAAGATGCCTCAACTACTCTAAAATTTTCATCAGCTGATTTTTTTTCATGGCTCCCCCATGTACCTTGTTAACCAAAAGCATAGTTTTCTTCCTTATTAAAGCTTAATTAGCTTCTGTTCCCATATTATTTATGTTTGTCTTAATTATATATTGTGCACAAAATTATGCATGCTAATTAAAAAGTTTAAAGATTGAGTTTCTTATTTAAATGATATAAATCATTCATTTTACAATGGGCTAGGTTAGGTTATTTAAATATTGAAAAGCCATGAAAGCTATCTATATAAGAGGAGAGATCCTCTGTGAAGGACCTTTCTGAGGGCTTGAATGGCTTGAATTTATGTTACACTTGGGGAAAACCACAAAAACCAATTAGTCAGCTTGTTTTCCTGAGATTTAATTATCAGTATTCAGTGATCTTAACTACTCGATCAATGTCAATAGTGGAGCCTATCAGTTTGTGATAAAGATGGCATCGGAAATTTACTGTAAAATTATGTGCAAATTATAATACAAGGAACATGAAAATTGATTTTGTATTAAAATTTCACATTATGTTAGCATTAAAGACCTGCATGAGTTTCACTTGATTATTTTACTATGTTGCATTTGTGGTGTACACATAATGTAAGAATATAGCACAAAAAATACCTTTGTAAACAGAACGATTTATGTAAGTATTATTTTTAAAGCTGCAGAATCATTCATAGCATCTGATTTCCAATAATTGTTTAGTATTAATTTAATGCCAGTTATGAAATAATTTTAATATGTAATATGTATTTATTTCTATGGATAATTTTTATTTTTCAGTTAAACAATGAAACAAACACCGCCTACTTGAAGGAAATTATAAATTCCTGAATATTTTACTGTTTCAATTAAGTAAAATACATATATTTCAGTCAGAGGGGTACTTTTGTGATATACAGAGGGTGAGTGGGGATACCTTTGTGAGTAATTTCTAAGGAAAAGTACAGTCTTTTTACCGTAATCATCAGAAAAAAACACATTCATCACATTTTGCAAGTTGTTTTAAGAATTAATAATGCATATGCACGAACATGCACTGCATTTTACAATTGCAGTAGTTTTACATATTCACTGAAATTTCACTGTAAAATGCTTGTTTGTATTTAATTAAAATGTCATTTAAAGGAGATGTTAACATTTGCTAAAAATATGAAAGTTTCATAAAAGTCTTACAAATGATTAATTGTTTGACAGGAGATCCTTTTTTAATAGCTTTATAGCATTTTACATATCAAGAAAATGCTGAAAAATTAACTTGAATATATGTTACACTTCTTTTCTTTATTAATTACTCCTGTCACCAACCATGTAGAGTCATAAAGTTTGTCAAATGCTGGGATCTGCATTTCAGACCAGAGCCATAACAAGGATTTTCAGTGCCTACTGGCAGCTGAAGAATTCATGCCTTCTCGTGTTTGCTAAGAAAGGAAAACATTTTATTCTAAAATTCTGCAACATCAACCCTCTGGATACTGTGCTTGGGAATGGAGTTTACTGGGGGATAGGATGACTCAATTCAGAATCACACAATTTAAAGAGACCTAATAAATGGATAAAATGTATGTAAAATAATTTGCAATGAAAATCATTTAACAAAGTGAGGGGAATGAAATATTTTTTCGTGTTAAAGGATATTGGATATTCAACAAAATTAAATTTATTAGAGTACATTTGATTACATAGATATGTATATAAGCATGTATTTAATAAAAATGATTGAAACAAAAACGTTCACAAGAACTTAATGAAAATTAATACAAAATTTTCAGGTTTTTTGAAAACAAAACATTTATTGGGTTTTTATTATTCTTGGAGTCACTGAATTCTATGCAGAGTGCAACATATGAACCAAAATCACAGATTTTTACTCACACTGTGATGTACTCATCACCGAATTCCAAAGCCAACTAATGAAAGATGAGATGTGATGTGGCGTTTGTAGAGGTGGAAGGTGGTGAAAGTAGCTTAGATAAAGAAAACTGGCTTGTGTCGCAGGCTATTCCGAGGATATTTCAAAGCCAAGTTAGTCTCCTTTCTGGAAAACCGTTTCTCTTCATTTCACACCCTTCTTAAATCTCGCTTGCGAGGCTGGTGTTTTCCGTATTTTGTTCATTTCCAGAGAGGATATCTTTTCGTGTTAAGCAATTTTCGTTTCATGTTAAGAGAAACAAAATGCATGAAAATATATAATAGTTTGTCAGGGCCGTTGTATTATTTTGTGTTAACCGATATTTCGCTTGAGCGTTTTCTGTTAAATGTATTTCACTGCATATGTAATATGAAAATGTAAGTGTGCTGTTGTAAGATTGCAAGTGGTCTTTGTGAGTACCTGTCCTAATCATATATTAAAACAAGAACATGCTATTTTGCACAATCTTTGAAATTTCTTTGCAAGTCATGGAAACTTTGATGGCTTTAATATCATATTCACAATGGTGAGTTTTGTTTCAGATTAACCACCTGCAATATGTGCTTGCTTAAGATTGTAATTTTGAGGTATTTAAGCACTCTTATTCATGAGTCACAAGCATAACCCCAGATAGAAGAGGTGTAGATGATAATTGGATACAACACATGACTACAGATTAATTTGTTATTAGTAGATAAACCCTATTCCAAGCAATTAAAGATCAAAATGTAACTTTATGGGCTGTTGTGCAACTGTACTTAATTTGACTATAATTAATTTTAGTAACTGATTAGTTTTGTTTAAGTGATTATTTAGAGTTTGATTTGAGCTGTAATTGTTTTACTTAAAATTTTAGTTTTGTTAATATTTTTAACTTAAAGGTGATTTTGATTTAACTTATTTAGTTTCTCTTCAAAAGACCTAATTTAGTTTTGTTTGGTTATTATGGTGGTTTGTTTGGATGATCATAAAGGATTCTAATTAATTTTTTTGTTGTACTAGTTTGGCATATAAACTTAATTATTATACTAATTTAATTCTGTTTAATTTCTACCCTTTTTCCCGTAAAGTTATTGAATCTTTATTTTCTGACTGAAATGGTAATTTTGACATTTTGTAACAAAGTAAAACTCATATAATAGAATTGAATTCAGTGCGTGTATTAAAGAAATTAAGCAAACAACTTTTACTTTAAATCTCTCTTATTTTTTTATAAAGAGTGGGGCAGCATTAGCTGAGACACCCATTTCTCCTCATTGGAGTAGTCATGATAGAGAGCCTATATTAAGGCAGGAAAACATCTGTGACAAAACAGGATACTAGATGTCCTTTGCAGTGATGCTGCATTCCTCCTCCTTGTAATAAAGTTTTTTAAATTAAATAATCTGTTGTCATTTAACACTTTTCTCAAAATATGCTTGGCATTGCTACATTTCATGTCAAGATTTTTTATATAAATTAACATCAAAACAGGCTTTGAGTATGTATTTGTGCTTTAACTAGCATCTGGATTTTAAACTAGTAGGGGAATAGCATTTTTTATTCAATTGCACTTGTTTTAACAGAACTTTTATTTTCTTACTCATTGTTTCATTGTAGTATTCAAACACACACTGGAAATATTATGCCTGGAAATGTTCATTGAATTGCAAATGCAAACATAGAGCTAATTACTAATACTTTAAAATCATAAGAGCAGGATTTCTGCAAATATAGTTTATTTCTAAACAGAATGCAGAATAGTAAGCATACTTATGTTCCTCACTTAGTCACACAGAAAAAAGAGGACTCTTACCTGACATGAATATTACTAATA